TCTGCAGTGGGTACCTCGGTGGGCTGTGGAGTACGCGCGGGCGTAGGCGCTGGCGTTGCCGGCGTCGGAGGCGATGCTGTTGGTGCCAGAGTTGGGGCCACTGTTGGTGCCAGTGTTGGATCTGGTGTTGGAGCCACTGTTGGTGCCAGGGTCGGTTCCAGCGTAGGCGCTGGCGTTGGCGCTGGCGTTGGTGCCACTGTTGGTGCCAGGGTTGGTGCCGCTGATGGTGCGAAGGTCGGCGCCGACGTCGGCGTCGACGTCGGCGTGAACGTAGGCGCGAGCGTTGGTGCCAGAGTTGGTGCTGGGGTCGGTTCCAGCGTCGGCATTGGCGTAGGTGCTGACGTTTGCGCTGATGTTGGTGCCAGTGTTGGATCTGGTGTTGGAGCCACTGTTGGTGCCAGGGTCGGTTCGGGCGTAGGCGCTGGCGTTGGCGCTGGCGTTGGCGCTGGCGTTGGCGCCAGCGTTGGTGCCAGAGTTGGTGCCAGTGTTGGTGTGGGGGTCGGTTCCAGCGACGGCATTGGCGTAGGCGCTGACGTTGGCGCTGATGTTGGTGCAAGTGTTGGATCTGGTGTTGGAGCCACTGTTGGTGCCAGGGTCGGTTCCGGCGTAGGCGCTTGCGTTGGCGTTGGCGTTGGCGCTGGCGTTGGCGCCAGCGTTGGTGCCAGAGTTGGTGCCAGTGTTGGTGTGGGGGTCGGTTCCAGCGTCGGCAATGGCGTAGGCGCTGACGTTGGCGCTGATGTTGGTGCAAGTGTTGGATCTGGTGTTGGAGCCACTGTTGGTACCAGGGTCGGTTCCGGCGTAGGCGCTGGCGTAGGCGCTGGCGTTGGCGCTGGTGTTGGTGCTCGTGTTGGAGCCGGTGTTGGAGCTAGCGTCGGCGGTGGCGTAGGCGCTGGCGTTGGTACCGGCGCCGTCAGTTCAGAAGGTCCAAGCAAGAATAAAGTACACGGTCCAAACTGGATGTCGTACAGCGCGCCACAGTAATTTCCATAATCTTTGCCTGAGTTCCAGCCATCGATCACATTTTGCGGTATGTTCACGTCAAATGACGACTGAAACCGCGATCCGATTGCATTCCCATCATTATCCACCAAGCACATGTGCACATTCCCGCCTTCATGGGTCGGAAAAATGAAACTTTCAAAGCTGAGCTTATGAGCCAACGTGGTCGGCCATCCATCCCAACCTCCCGAATCACGAGCAAGGCCACTGATTGGGCAAGCGACTGGAATCGTTTGTGCCGTCGTCCGGCGGACGTCCGCACGGAGGACGGTCGTGTCCGCCGTCAGCGCCATCTGTCGGCTGTCGTTTGGTGGCGGAGTCGAGGCATTGAGCTCTGAAATTGTCGCGTTCGCCGACGCCTTCGAGTTTCGCGTTCAGAGGTCGGCGCAACTGTCGGCGGCGGTGCCAGCGCGTAGCTCAGTCGGGCCACGGTCGTGGGCCCGACAGTCAAAAGCAAGAGCATAGCGTCCATCATAGGCCTCAGCTGCCGCCGACTCAAGGCCTCAGCTGCCGCCGACTCAAGGCCTCGGCTGCCTCAAAGTGGCCAAGGCGATTGGGCTTGGCTCGAGCCATTATGGTTACGGACCCTCTGGAGGCTCTCTTGGGCATCTTTTGGGCCCTCAGGAGCCTCTCTTGGGTCATCTAGGGGTCAACTTGGGCCGTCTTGGAGCCCTCTTGGGCCGATTTGGGGCCGTCTTGGAGGTCTCTTATGCCGAATTGGGGCGAGCCTGGGGGCCTCTTGGGCAATCGTGGACGCCGTGAAGGCCAAAGAAGCAGGTACGCTAAACAGATGCGCTTTCCTAAAAAGGAACGGGGCGAATTTGCCTTATGGGCGTTGTTTTGGAGGCTTCGTGGAGCGTTTGGAGGGCTTATTCGGCCGTCTTGAAGGCTTCTTGGGCCCTCTTTGAGCGTTCTTGAGCCGTCTTGGGTCCTTTGGCCTCGCTAAAGCCGTCGCGGAAATATCTAGGGCGCTCTTGGGGCTGTCTTGGACTGTCCTGTGGCCCTCTCAGGCGCTCTTGGAGCTGACTTGGGCCAAATATGGCATAACATTTGGCGATTAGACCTCTTTGGCACGGGGATGGAAAGCGCTTGTACTCTGTGAGGGCGCGAGATCGCTTGCTCAGTGTCTTGGAGCCTTCTTGGTGTCATGACTTCAGTGCGTCATATAGAAAACGAACAAACAACGTTGCGAACAACAATGGATATGGCATCTCCGGGCCTTACTGCGGGGGATTTTTGGGCTCCTTGGGGCCGTCTTGGGGCCCTCTTGGATCGTCCTGTGGCCCTATTGGGCCGTCTTGGGCCCTCTCGGGGACCTCTAAGTCCCTCTTTTGGGCTTCCTGTAAACCTCTTGGGGATCTCTTGGGTACCTTTCGGGGCCCTCTTGGGGCCCTCTTGGGTCGTCTTGGGGCTGTCTTGGGTCGTCTGAACGCCCTCTTGATTCGTCTTGTGGCCGTCTTGGGAGCCTCTAGTGCCGTCTTGGGGCGATCCTGGAGGCCTCTTGAGCCGTCGTGGACGCTGTGACGACCACAGAAACAAATATGCTAAACATGCCTGTTACACGAAAGAGATGGGACGATTTGTGTCTCTTTGGCGTGCATGCTTCTGGTCCGTTTTTTGGGTTGTAGCCCTTTATTTGGTTCATACGATAATGTCTGAACGGCTGTATCTTGTTCGAATGAGGCAACCCGTGGTTTCTCGTGAGTTGGACCTGCGTGCGCGGAGACCCACGCATATGCCCCACATCGTATTTTGGTCAAGTGGCTCTTTATTCCCTACCTAGGCTCTGCCTAGAAGGGTTCTTACTCGGTATGCTTAAAGGGCCGGGCAATGAGGCACGCCCCGGGCGGTTCCCCCAGCATCCGCCCCGCGGTTCCCCCAGTGACGTTCCCTTGGCTTCGCGTTGCTTAACTCATCTTAGCTTAGCTTATTTCATATTATCTTAGCTTAGCTTCACCTTACCTCAGTTGTATTTTTATTGTTCCCTACCTAGGCTCTGCCTAGAAGGGCTCTTACTCGCTAAGCTTATAAGGCCGGGCAGTGGGGCTCGCCCCGGGCGGTTCCCCTGGCATCCGCCCCGCGGTTCCCCCAGGATCCTGGGAGCTTTAGCTTTAGCTTTAGCTTAGCTTCAGTTTAGCTTCAGCTTAGTTTTAGCTTAGCGTTAGCTGAGCTTTAGCTTAGCTTTAGTTTAGCTTTAGCTTAGCTTTAATTTAGCTTTAGATTTAGCTTTAGCTTAGCTTTAGCTTTAGCTTAGCTCTTGCTTAACTTTAGTTTAGCTATACTGATACTACTAATGCTGCGTTCCTAGGGGCTCCAACTCCTAGGTAGGGTCGCACTGGGATAATACAAAGGCTTTATAAATCAACGCATGTGCACAACACAACAATAACATGTGTCAAGGATGAAGGGAAAGGAAGGTCGACACGGGATGGCCGGGAATGATACTACATAAAACTTGATACGACATTCCCGGCACAATACATACGAAGCAAGCAATACGCGCATGGGTATCGTGATTCTTCGTAGGGACAGGAATCCGTATTGCGCAACATGTGTTGTGCAAAATATGTGGTGAGCCCTCTGGGGTTCAACCTATGGGGCGCGTTCTATGCGGTGCAACCCGCCCTGCCGAACTTGAAATTGTCACCCCCCTGCTTGGGCAATCATCCCACCCACCCACCCGCAACCTGTTTGCAAAACCTATGCCGTGGCGATTGCGATGAGTGCTCAGCGCTGGCTGGCGCATCGCCGCGGCAGCGCTAGCGCGCATGCTCGCGCGCAAAGCGGCCAGCCAGTTTGGTGCGACCGACGCGACAGCGGTGGCGCTGACTGCTGGGCGCTTCCCAGCGGGCACTTCAGTGCGAGTCGGCGACTTGGGCGGGCGCGGTGTCTTGGCAACGTCGATCTCGGTAGACGCGGTAATGACAGTAGACGACGGCGGCGTGGCCAGTGACGGCGCAGATGCTGATCACGCCGGCGGCGATGACTGCGTCCTCGCGTCGGTGATGGAGGTTTTGGAGGGAGTTCGACACGCGCGCCCTGTGGTGTTGGGTCCTCGGTTTGAAGAGACATCGCCCCGCGTCTCTTCCTCTCATCCTCTTCTCTCCTCTCCGCCTCCCGCTCCTCCATCCTTCCCAACCCCTGTCGGCACACCCCTCACACGCTTCGTGGCCCACTATGGAGCTCCACCGCACGCCCCAGCGGCAGCGCCCGCATGCAGCCACCCCCTTCCCATTTCAGTGCATCCCTCACACGCTTCGTGGCACCATAGGGAGCTCCACCGCACGCCCCAGTGGCAGCGCCCGCATGCAGCCACCCCCTTCCCATTTCAGTGCATCCCTCACACGCTTCGTGGCACCATAGGGAGCTCCACCGCACGCCCCAGTGGCAACGCCCGCATGCGGTTCCGTCCTTCTTTTCGGTACACCCCTCACACGTTTCGGGGCCCGGGGGCTCAACCTAAACCCCCAATGGCAGCGCCCGCAGGCGGTTCCACCCCCATTTCGGTGCACCCCTCACAAGCTTCATTGCAACAGAAGGAGCTCCACGGAAGGCTCCCGTGGCAGCGCCCGCATGCGGTTCCGCCCTCCATTTCGGCACACCCCTCACACGTTTCGTAGCCCCATAGGGAGCTCCACGGAAGACTCCCGTGGCAACGCCCGCATGCAGTTCCACATGCAATGTCGGTGCACCCCTCAAACGTTTCGTGGCCCCACATGGAGCTCCACCGAAGGCCCCAATGGCATCGCCCGCATGCGGTTCCACCTTCAATTTTGGCACACTTCTCACGCGCTTCGTGGCCCCATAGGGAGCTCCACGGAAGGCTCCCGTGGCAGCGCCCGCATGCAGCTCCACATTCCATTTCGGCACACCACTCACACGCTTCGTAGCCCCATATGGAGCTCCACCGAAGGCCCCAATGGCAGCGCCCGCATGCGGTTCCACCCTCAATTTGGGTGCAAACCTCACAAGTTTCGTGGCACCATGGGGAGCTCCACCTA